GACCACAGCATGATAATGACTGTGCTGCTTCTTAGTGTCGGGCTGCATACGTACAAATCACAATTTGCTGTTTGTTTGGGTTTTTTTAGGAGGAGGAAGGGACCCTCCTTTACTATTCTGTATCCTAAAATCTACTTCTAATCAGCTTTATACTCTTGCCTGTACAGCTCAGTGAATGTACTTTCATCTCTAAGAGTTCAGATAGATGCCAGTGAATATTTCTGCTGTAGAGGAGAAAGTAAAAACTCCACAGCAGGGGTTTTTTCGTTGCTTTTGAAACCAACATTGAATCACTATCGTTTTGCAGACTTTGCACACTGTACAGGAGAGTGGCCTTTCTACAGCACATTTTCAGTAATCCTATATTTAGTCAAAATGGATGAGAAATCACGTATTAATGTTTGTATGGAATTTTGGGTCTAGTGTAATATTTTTATCATTTAAAAAAAACCTATTTGTAAAAACATTTATTTACTGCATGGATATTGACGTACATTAAATTTGTGGAATTTTGTATATGTTAAAAAACAAAACGAAACAAACAAAAAAAAAAACCTCTTGTCCTAAAATGAAGTGTGCTTGTTACAGGTGTTTAGACTTGTTGATGTTTACTAGACCAAATGTGTACATTCACTTAAAAATATCTGTACCTGATGGATGTGTCATGAATACAGTGGCAAGGTTGTGCCCTGTATAGAACGAGCAGTTGACGGAAAGACTAGCTGTGTTGCTACTAAGCAGCTTTTACTTTTGTAAAGTCAGCTGTTGTTTTAAATGGTAAAAATTAAACTAATGAATTTTAAAAGACTCGTGACTAGCTTAGCATGAAAGAGACCTTTTAACACTATATTTATCTGTACATTTTATTGCATTAGTTTCAAATCTAGGAGAGAGGCAGCACTGTAAACTGAAGTGAAATAAATTTAGCTCTTAATGAATCCTTATAAGGCACCTACTTTATTCATACAGAGTCCTCACCACATTTCTTTGAGACCCAATCACAGAGCCGCCCTCCCCTGACCCCCTTCCCTAGTCACGAGTTGTAACTTTGCCACTCCATCCGTGGTCCAAGCCAGAAGCAGCAGCTGTTCCGTGTGTGTGTGTGTGCAAGGATCTTTTCTGAGACCCTGCAAAATCAAACTCCTTTCCCATTTAGCTGACACAAACTTGAGAATTTCACCCACTCTTTCCTTTCTGTTGATTCTTGGGAAGTTGGGGAGGAGGAACCGCCAAAAATGTGTTGTGTGTGTGTGTGTGTGTGTGTTTTAACAAATATAACCGACAGCATGTCTGCAGAATGAACTTTTAAAGAAAATGAAAGAAATAAGTTTGGGTCTTGCTCGATGTTCCACGTAACCAGAAGAACCTGATTATTATGGCTAAGGACTGCTGAAATAAAACTGAAAACCAATGAACTGCCTAAAGCCAGGGCAAAAGCGGGCTAGGGGTAAGAATGAGGAACAGAAAAACTTAACCTAGGATATTTTGTCAAAAAAAAAAAAAAGTGCTTTCCTAGAGATTTTTTTCCCTCTCAGTTCTACATTTATATTAAACCATCGAGCAGAACTGTAAACATAGTTCTGAATCATAAAATCATAGTTCTCCTTACAAGGACTTCATGCTATTTAATGAAGGCACTTTCCCTTCACTATTTATTCAGATAATGCCATCTTTTTCCGACTATTTATTACAGCCTTTATAGCTAACAATTTCCGGGCTTTTATATATAACTTCTTGTGGTACATTTGGCCTTGCTTGTTTGGCACAAAAGTAATCACTGTTTAGCACCTAGGGCAACACTTTAACTGTAAGAGGGAAAACAGGGCCGTATTTTCTTTTCAAAAGTCCATCTCTAGACCAGCATGAGTCTTCCTAGAAATCCCCAGCTCACTGAAGCCAATTCAAATATCCTGTTTTGATCCCTCCTGTCTCCCATTCTCAGCTTACGGGGCATTGTTCCTCTTCGACCAAGCCCTTGTTTGCATCCTTAAACTTCAGAAGCCGCTCCGCTCCCAGAGTCCCATTCTTAGGAAAAGCCCACCCACGCGTTACTCTGTAAGCCTGCTCAAGTGCGACTTTTTCTCCTCTGTCGTCCGGACACTGCACTAACCCATTAAGCCCCGCACTAAATCTGGCGCCTCTCCGAGCCCTCCCTCCCTCTCCTCATCCCCACCCTCAGCCAGCTGCAGCACTGCGCACTGGAGGCCATTCCAGGCCCAGGGTAGCGCGCAGCCAATGTCCTCCCAGCGGTCCAGGTCGAGGTCATAGCCCACCACGTTGCGGGTAGGCACCTGCCGGGAGTCCCGCCACTTGAGGCCACCCAGCAGCAGCGCCGTCTCCTCCACCACGGCCAGCCCATAGCAGAAGCGGTCATAGGGTAGCGGCCGCAGCCGAGTCCACTGGTCCGTGCCGGGGTCGTAGCGTTCGATCTCAGAGAAGGGCTCATAGCGCCCCAGAAAGGCGAACACCGCGCCGCGCAGCGCAGCCATATGGTGCCCGAAGCGGGCCGTGCTCATGGGCGCCCTCTTGCTCCACGCTCGCTCCCCAGGGCCCAGGGCGTACACGTCCCGGAGGCTGCTCGCGCCGCCCTCGCCTCTTCCCGCCTTACCCCCAGAGATGTACACGACGCCACGGTCCCCGACGGCCCCCGCGTGGCCGTGCAGCGCCCGCGGCAGTGCCCCGGCCGCCGTCCAGCAGTCCCGGCGCAGGTCATACATCTCTACGGACGCCAGCGCCTGGCCGTCCGCGCCCAGACCCCCGACAGCCAGGAGCCCCTCGCCCACGGCGCCGCACCAGAAATGGGCCCGCGCCTCCCGCATAGCGGGCACCGCCGTCCAAGCGTGGAAACGCGGGTCGTAACGGTGCACTTGGGCCGTGACCGCGCGCACGCCGTCCGCCATGGGTGAGGAGGCGCCATCAGAGAGACTCTCCCCGCCCAGGACGAACAGGAAATTGCCTGCGGTGCACACGCTGTGCCCCAGTAGCGGTGCAGGCAGCCGCGTGAGACTGCGCCAGCGGTGGTTGTACACGTCGAAGGCCACCACGTCCTGGGTGAACTCCCAGTCCTCCTCCTCCTCTTCCAACTGCTCATCTTCCTCGTCCTCCTCCTCCTCCTCTGGCTCCGCCGCGGCGCCCCTGCCCCTGGCTACCGCCCGGGGGACCACGACCTCCTCGGTCACCGCCTCCCGTGCCCTGCGCCCCCCTACCAACAAGATGCGGGTTTGGGGACTCCGGACGCTGGTCTGCTCGCCCTGCAAGAGCGGCTGGCGGGAGGGCGCCGTGTGGTAGTTGAGGGCCTGGATGATGAGGCCCTTGACCCGGGCGGGCAGGACGAGGCCGGAGCCCGAGTACACGCGCCGCAGCACGTCGGCGGGTACTAGGCCGAAGCGAACGCGCTCGAGCAGCGAGGCGCAGTGGGCCAGGCGTTCGGCCTCGGGCTCCTGCCTCAGCCAGGCCAGTGCCAGACCCAGCAGCCAGGCCTCAGGCACCCGCGCCACGTCGGGGGCACCCAACACAGCCTTGAGTGACGTGGGGTTCAGCTCCAGCAGCCCCGTGGGGCCCGCGCCGCGCAGCAGCAGCTCGCGCAGGTGGCGCACGATGCAGCTCTCCGCGGCGCCCAACGTGTGCGCCAGGCCGAAGCGCGCCGCCACGTTGGCGGCGAAGCAGCAGTTCTCCGGCGCCAGCTGGCGCTCCAGGTAGCGGCCGCACAGCCCCAGTGCCTCGGTCACCTGCAGGTAGCTGGCGGCCTCCAGCGTGTCTCCCACCGTGTCCATGGAGAGCGGCAGCCAGGCGGTGTAAATGAAGTCCAGCAAGCGCTGCAGGCCGGCAGCCGACGGCACGTGTAAGTGGATCACGCTGGCCCTGGATTCCCGGGTGTGGCTCTTGAACAGGGCCCTGAAGTAGTCGCTGGAACACGCGAGCAGCGACCTATGCGCCGGGAACTCGCTGCCCTCGGCCTCCAGCGTCACATCGCACAGGAAGCCCTCGGCGCGCAGGGCCTGATAGCCAGTGAGCACGGCGCCGCCATGAGCTTTACAGTAAGATAGGAAGTAACTCATGATGTCCAGGGCGGGAAGCGGCCCGGCCGGGGCTGGAGCCCACCGGGCACGGCCAGAGGCATCTCGGGGCACAGCGCCCCAGGGCCCCCTACGCGAGCCCCAGAGCCCCTAGCAGGGGCGCATTTTTGCCTACTCAGCCTAAAGCCCAGGGCTCCTTCATCCAGGCCTGCAGATATCCCTGTACCCCTCTCGGAGCAAACCCGGTAGGGTTTCCAGAAGCTCCCAGTAGCGGAGGTCCCGGAGTTCGGAGTCTTCCGGAGGGAGCAGGGTTTGCTTTTGGCTGCTGCCGAGGCTGCCGGCGCGTTGCCCAAGGCCCCCTCCCCGTCCCAGTTTGGGGAGCCCACACCTGCGCGCCCGGGGCCGCAGTGGCCACGCACCATCACCTGGAAGGGCCGAGCTGTGGGTGGACTGATTCTGAGGGGTGCTGGATCTCCGACGGCGCTGATGCGCGGATGTGGCCCGGCTCGGGGCGTCCCGGGAGTGCGGGGCGAGGGCTCTGGCCTCCCGGAGGTGGACGAGGAGGACGGACACTGCGGGCACCCGCGAGGGCCGGGGACAACTGGGTATGGGGCGGAGAGGGGGGTGAGCTTGTTCCGCGCGGAGGATCAAATCAAAGCCTGGGGGATTAAGGAGGGGGGGCGCAGGTCAGCGCGGCGGGTCGGAGGCATGATTGGGCGCCGTACATAACATGCCGGTAGCTCACAGCGACAGGAATAGCGCGCGGCCGCGGCCTCCCCAGCGCGACCCGCCCCGCCCCGCGCCCCGGCTGCTGGCTGCGAACCCAGGGCCGGGGCGCTGGAAGGAGCGGCCCGGGCCTGGGACCTGACTCCGGTGACCCGACGAGCCGCTGGTCACCGGGAGGGGGGGCGGCGGGTCTCGAGAACTCGGCTAGGGTTGCGGGTGGCGCTCACTGGAGGGGCAGGAACGCCGGGGACCCTGTACCTGGTGGTGTCTGGGGAGAGGCGGCCGGCTGGGCCGGAGGAGTGTCGACTCCCTGGTGCACTTGTGCCTGGGAAAGCAGCCCCTGGCTCGAAACTTTCTGCTTTGAGAAGGCCCTAATTAATCTGGCGGGGGCGGGGATTAAGCGGCGACTTTGCGCGCTGACACCCAGGAGGCCGCTGCGCGCAGGGGAGCTACTGGCGGGAACCACGCCCTGGGGAATCTGGGCTCCCCGCCAGCGGCGCTTGGTAACATGCCCCTCACCGGACTCGCCCTTTCGAGATGCTGGGCCTACTCTGCGCCCTTCCTGAGGCGGCCCGCGTCTCCTGGGCTGGCTGGTCTCACGTTCTGCGCTGGGGAATTTGCTCCCACCCCCGCTCCCTGACCCCAGCCGAGTTCTCCCTTCCTGTTCTTGGATCCTGCCCAACCCATCCCTTAGCAAAGTGGACAAGGAGATTGGGTTTTCTGCCTTTGAATGACCACTTCCTTTAAGAAGATAATTCGTTCCAGTTTCTTTCCCTGACTTTTCAGACTGTGATCTAATTAATGCCTGCTACATCTTCAATGCCGGGACAGGATAATGGGCAGTAAGGTCTCAAAGCTTGGTAGAAGCTAGAGGTTCGTAGGGCCCCTTTTCATGAAGTTATTTATAAGATGCACCCAGCACAGAAATGATGACTAAAACCACCCAATCTTGAGACATTAGGAAAGCATTTCTCCATCTCCTCCATCCTGCTCTTAAATAACTAAATGATTAATATAACTGTTCTTTCTTGCCAATTTGGAGCTTCTGTGTTTTGCTTTCATCTAGAATTGATTTTTCTATTTTCTAATGCAACTCCTCTGGCAATCTGTTTTAAGTGAACCTTTTGAGGGCATCTGAAATAACTTGCATTTCTTTTTTTTTTTTTTTAAAGATTTTATTTATTTATTCGACAGAGAGAGAGACACAGCGAGAGAGGGAACACAAGCAGGGGGAGTGGGAGAGGGAGAAGCAGGCTTCCCGCGGAGCAGGGAGCCCGATGTGGGGCTCGATCCCAGGACCCTGGGATCATGACCTGAGCGGAAGGCAGACGCTTAACGACTGAGCCACCCAGGCGCCCCAATAACTTGCATTTCTGACAGTTGGGTTGTGTTTCATTAAAAAAAAAAAAGAAGAAGTCCAAGGAAGTATAAAAATGTATCTCTTTCTGCCTCATATGCCATCCGTACTTAAAAGGTCTCCAATTAGAATTCTTAAAGTGCATAAAAATATTAGTAAAATGATCCTGCTTTCTTGTCAAAGATGGAATTGCTTTATGACTTAAATTAGCCAAATTATAAAATGCAGGCAGAGGCTCAAGTTAAGGGCTTGCTTAAACTCCAGAGGCTAAAAATACTCCAATTTGAATTCCTAATGTTAAAACTACAGATGGATTCAGGCGGGGTGCTGGTTGGTTTTTCTTTTTCAAGTACTAAAATTCTTAGTTCAAAAATAAAATACCAGTTTGGTTCAGTGTGCACAGACCCGAATGGTGAAATTAAATGGCCTTTACTCGACCTACTAGAAATTTGCTAGAAGAGATATTGTAGATCATTTAGCTAAACTCTCTCCTTTTCCTCTGCAATTTCTTGTTTTTCTTTTCAAACAAATGTGGCAAATGAGCCCCAGAGAGAATACAATTTGTCTGGGTGACTTGGATATTGAGTTACAGAGTCTGGACAGGAATCCAGGGCTCTCTCCCCACTATATTATGTGACCTCCTGTATGATAAAAATAAAATAGTACAACACACCATCAGATTATTTAAACCAAATTTCAGAGTGATAAAGTATAAATACAGTTTTTTAAACACGTTTTTAACCCCAAAATCGATCACATCCCGTCAGATCTGTCCATCATCATGCATTCAGGTTGAATCCAAAATGTCACACTTACTTGAGAATGAAGATGCTGTGGAAGGGTTTACATCTTGACATCAAAAATCAATGGTACACTCTGAAACAAATAATGCAATATATGTTAAGAAAAAAAAAAAGAAGAAGATAGCAGGAGGGGAAGAATGAAGCGGGGGAAATCGGAGGGGTAGATGAACCATGAGAGACGATGGACTCTGAAAAACAAACAGGGTTCTAGAGGGGAGGGAGGTGGGAGGATGGGTTAGCCTGGTGGTGGGTATTGAGGAGGGCACATTCTGCATGGAGCACTGGGTGTTATGCACAAACAATGAATCATGGAACACTTCATCTAAAACTAATGATGTAATGTATGGTGATTAACATAACAATTAAAAAATTTAAAAAAATCAATAGTACACAACAAGCATGTGTTCGTTGCTGGCGCAACCTGCCACCTTTATGTATTTTGCTGTTGAGGATACAATGAACTGTGCTAACAGAAGAAATTTTCATATTGAATGTGTTTCCAAGGTTTTGTCTAGAAAATGTAATTATCAATCCATCCAAGAATATTCTTGTCCTTTGAGTAACATTTGTGGAAAGGATCAAGATTTTAATTTTTGTGCAATATTAAGTATGCTAAATAACATTTCAGTGTGGTGTGTGCTTTTTTAGTTGTCGTGAGAGATGTGTGTCTTAAGTTGGATCCCCTAGAAGCAGTCTCTGCCACCCAACCTGAATGGGTGGGGGTGAGCACATGTGGTGGGATATGATCATCATGTTGAAAATGATCTGCTCTGTGTGGCCTTCCCCCTTTAGACTATAAGCTCCTCGAGGGCAAGGACTATTTCTTGATTTTTTAACCTCTAGCCCCTATCACAGTCTTTGGCATAAGTAATGTTGAGTTGAACAGATCTAGGGAATGGTACCTAGTGGTGCCATCAGTGGGAGGAGTAAAGGATTATTAAGAGGAACTCGACGGGGACAATTAGTTCTTCCTCTCTGGTTCTCTTTGTTCCCTTCACCCAGCTGGGGTTAAAAACACATCCTGGTCAGGCTGTGAGCTCACAACCCTAGGAATCAAATGGGTAACTGTGAGTGGCACCCCCCCCGGACCCGACTCTTCTGAGAAGCCCAGAGCACCTCGTCCAGCCCCCACTGCAGGCCAGTGCCACCCTGCAGCCCGAGTCCTTCCCCCAGATCGGCGCCACTTGGCTCTCAGCATCTAGTCAGATGTGCCACTGCTGTTCCTATCTGGACCAGGGGCCCCACATGCCCCAGCAGGAAGCCCCGGGCTTCCACCGAAGGCCCAGCTACACCGTCCGGCATGCCTGGTGGGACCCTGAAATTTGCCCCGAGCCCCTCCCCCCTTGTCAGGACTGCGACCTGCTCTCAACATTCCCTTCCATACATCTGCACCTCCTGTGAGAGAGCCAGGAGCCAAAGTCTTCCAAGCTCCTGCCTGACCTCAGGGTGGCACCGCTAGTCAGCCATGGCGCTCGCCTTTGCCTGAATCGGCCCTGTCTAGCTCAACCGAAAGTTCCTAGTTCTCCCCTCTAGAAGAATTGTACATGTTTAAAAAAATCAAAAACTGCAAATATCCATGTATAATAGACACAACATTTTTTTGCAGATGTAATGCGCTATCTTTGGTAACGGCTTTATGGAGATATGATGCACATACCATAAAACTCACTAATTTAAAGTGTACAGTTCAGTGGTTCTTAGCATATTTACAGTTATGCAGCCAACAGTGGAGTCTAATTTGGGGACATTTCCATCCCCTCATACAGAAACCCTGTGCCCTTTAACTCTGGCTTCTCTGTACCACCAGGCCCCCCGCCTTAGGCAAGCACTAATCCACTTTCTATCTCTGCAGTTTCTGGGCATTTCATATAAATGCACTCATACAATACCTGATCTTTTGTGACTCATTTCTTTGACTTAGCATGTTTGCAAGGCTCATCCATTGGAATGCACTTTTGAGGAAGAAAACGGTCATGTATAGGAATAACACTGGGAACCTTTTCTCAAAACCACAAAACCCTACAATGTGCCTATTTGATATTTAAGATATAGTGTTTGGCAGGTTAACTCCTTATCATCTCTCATTACTGGCTCCTTTCAATCCCAGTATGCTTCCTTCCAATGCATGGCTTCTGGCAGCCTCCATAGAGAACCTGTAATTAGAAATGGACACATTTAAGTTAGCTAATTACGAAAACATGATGACAAACAATAACAGACACGCAGTAGAGAAAAACTCCTGTGTTATCTTCACCCTGTTGCAAGACCACTTTTTGTGTACATGAATTTTATCTTTGTGATATGCAGTTCAAGCAAAAGAGTTTCAAGGGGCCTTGTGTGTGTGTGTGTGTGTGTGTGTGTGTGTGTTTTAATCACGTGTGATTTTGGTGTTCTGGCCCAGCTGACAGTTGAAGAAGCAGCATGGCAGTGAGGAAGGACTCAGCTTTGGGGTCAGACAGACCTGGGCTTTGTTTCTGGATCTGCCCCGTGTGACTTTAAGCAAGTGACATGAATTCTTTGAGTGCCGTTTTATTGTTTTTAAAAGGAGGATAATGACTCTACACTCACAGCACTGTTCAAATTAGATTATATATATGACTGCTCCTGGTGTAAGTACACACAGCAGATATGAGTTTTTCCTCCTTTTCCCTCCCTTGACTAAAGCTTTCTGAAAACTCATAATACCAGAGCCTAAGTACACAGGAAGTGTAATAGAGTAGTGGTTCTCAGTGGTCCTCCTGCAGTATCACCTAGGAACCTGTTAAGAAGTGTAAATTCTCGGCCCCACCTCAAACCTACTGCATCAGAAGCTCCAAGAGTTGGGCCCAGCGATCTGCTTCTCTAAGCCCTTCCAGTGATATGAAGCACTCAAAGGTATGAGTACCACTGTAATAGAGCATTGTTAATTTCTGCTACACCCCGAAATCACCACTCTCAGTAACAACTTGTTCTGGGTGTGATATCAACATCTTCCAAAGAAGTGGGGAAGCCCACTTGCTCCAAAAGGTCAGAGGTCAGAGACCCAGATGGGAAAAATTAGTGGCCTCCGCCTCATGTCATATGACTGGTCATATTAACAAAAATAGATTGTGGACTTGTTCGCCCTTTCATACCCCTACAAGATGATAGTATTAACAGCGGATCACTGGAGCATGAGATGTGATGACTTGGTAAGCAATACAGT